AAAAAAAAGTTCCTCTCCGGGGATCAAACTTTCTATTAGGTCCAAACCCCGCCACGTGCACCGCCACTCAGCGTCGACAGGCGGCATTATTTTTGTCATTAACAGAATTTATGCAATCATCTTTAGATTTGTAGTACGATCAAAAAATTAGCGCCGAAAAACTTGTGTAACCATACTTCGATCAATATTATGTCACTAGATGAGACTGTTACTACATTGTACATAAAGTTTCTTTTTGTAAAGAACATGGATTTAAATGGCAGCAAGTCTATTGCATAAACCACAAACCGGAAAGAAGTGAACAGGTATTGCATGGCCTGCAGTATTACCAAACTACCAAAGAAAGAAACAAACAAAGAAACAAAGAAGGATAGAATCCGTCTTACTACATTTGAAATGTAAAAACTCAATTTGACAATTCACTGTTGAAATCTGGCAGGTTTCTCCAACCTGTGAACATATCCCATGAGATGAAGACAGTGGATGGCCTGCACCATCTCTGCCAGGTAGAACTGAGCCATCTTCTCCTCAAACACATCATCATGGCGGCCGAGCAGGTTCAGCAGGTCTCCTCCAGGGTGGAAGTCCATGACCAGGTACAGACTGGTCCTGTCCTGAAAGGCGTACTGCAGGGATGTGATCCACGGACTGGTGGCCCTCGCCATGATGTCACGTTCTTCCTCAAAAAATGCCACCTGAAAGAAACAAAAATACATCTTACATATCTTCAACTAATGATGTACATCCCATATGCTAAACTGGGGAACGGGCAGGCCTTATAGCAATGACCCAGCATTGGCCCACTATAAATTTCAATTGTCCTGACGTGACGATGGAGTATCCAAACCTTTTGTCAAGATGTACATACATGTATGTATGTATGGCAACACCAACAACAAAAAAATGTTCCTTAATGTTTTAAGCTGTCTTTGTGGACAACTGTCTACCATCTCTTAAAACATTTTATGGGCTCAAACTCATATTGAGATAAGCAAAGTTATACATTTTGTAGTTGTCAGTTTATCACTGGTAGAGCCAAAACTGTCTATAAAATGTCGAACGGACATTTAACATTCTCTAAAGTTCCGCACATTTTTTAAACATTTCCGATTGGCGGAAAAAGCAGTCCAGTCCGATTTGGGGGTGGAAAAAGCAGTCCGGTGGTTTCTACGAAATTCTACGAAAGACCACAGGCACATTTTCACATTTTTTTCTTGTGTGTGTACTTCGAGTTTCTATGAGTACTTGGAGTTTCTATGAGTACTTAAGAGTTTCTATGGGTACTTCAAGGTTCTATGCCGGTACTTAGAGTTTCTATGAGTTATTAGAGTTTCTGTGAGATATGCAACTCAATGTATTGTCATCAGCCACAGGAAACAAAGTGCCCACAGAAAGTCGGACCGCACACAGAAATTGAAGTACTCATAGAAACTCGAAATACTCATACAAACACTGAGTTCCCATACCAACACTAAGTTCCTATACAAACTCTAAGTGCACAGAGAAACTCGAAGTTCCCATACAAACACTAAGTTCCTATACAAACTCTGAGTGCTCACAGAAACTCTAAGTACCCATAGAAACTCAAAGTTCCCATACAAACTATATACTCATACAAAATTCTAATTTCGCATACAATCTGTAAGTTTCCATAGAAACTCTAAGTTCCCATACAAACTCTAAGTGCTCACAGAAACTCCAAGTACTCATAGAAACTCTAAGTACCCATAGAAACTAGAAGTACTCATAGAAACTCGAAGTACTTATAGAAACTCGAAGTACACACACAAGAAAAAAATGTGCCTGTGGTCTTTCGCAGAATTTCGTAGAAACCACTGGACTGCTTTTTCCACCCCCAAATCGGACTGGACTGCTTTTTCCGCCAATCGGACTGGACTCCTTTTTCCATTAACCCGTAAGGATGTCTTTCCCAGGTCTTTTTGGGGAGGACTTGCTTGTTGTGTTTTTCATTGTTCATGAGGTGTTTGTCAGAATATCTTTAGAAACAAGTGCTTTTGCAAAAGCTGCCATTTTTGCAGCAAATTTTTCATGAAAAGGCTTACAGTTTTTACGAACTGGTGGATGGCAACAAAATCAGTGTCAGATATAGTGATTAGTCTCTGCAATATATTTACACAAATATGAGTAATGTTATTATAGTCATGTACATATAAGAATTATAAACTTTAGACATAATAGACTAGTTCACATGTCATTACCGGTAAACTTATTATTACTTTTTTACCATCAGTATCATATTGATTTCTTAACAGTTTTAGTAGGATCCATACTTCTGTGGTGCAGGTATAATTTGTATGGAATAGGTAATTTTCAATGTTACATGCACCAGTTTAGGTATGCAAAAAAATGTATTTCGAGCCCTGAGTGCATTCACTAGGTTTAGTTCCATAACTTACCAACATGGCTAGCAGACGACATGCCCCCCTCCCACCCTTACGAAGTTGTTTACATCATGTTTATCCACACTCCGATAGAAAACTAATGCATGGATTGGAATAAAAGGTGACTGCTGTGATTGAATCTCCTCTATTTTTTGTGGAAACCAAATTCAAATAAAGTTTGAGCCGAGATACATGTATTTATGTCAAAAGACGAGATGACGAGGCCTCCCCATCCCTACTACTGGAACTACCTCCTCAATAGTATTGACAAGATTAGCACCAAATATCCTCACGGAGGAATATGTCTTATGGGAGATTTTAACAGGTTCGAAACCTCGCCCGTTCTTCAAGGTAGCAAACTTGAACAAGTCATGAAACACCCAACCAGGGGAGGGGCAGTCCTTGACCTGATAATTACGAACTTTAAGACTTTTTACCTAAACCCCCGTATAGAAGAACCTTTAGGACAGAGCGATCACAACACCGTGTTATGGTTTCCTGTAGATCACAAACCCATCAACACGACATCTAAAGTCACTTTTCAGCAAATGAAAGATTCCAATATACGCTCTTTTGGGCAATGGATTTCATCCCACCCGTGGGATGAGGTCCTGAACGCTCCAGATACCCAGACTAAAGTCGACAATTTCTACAATATTCTTAAAGCTAAGATTGATCATCATTTCCCTTTCAAATCGTTTGTAAAACACAACAGTGATAAAGCATGGATAACCTCACAGATCAAGTCTGCAATTAGAAGACGACAAAAAGCCTTTCACTCAGGAAACATGCCCTTGTATAAAAAATTAGGAATCGAGTGATTCGGTTATGTTCAAAAGCCAAAAAACGCCATTATGTTTCCAGGGTAAAATCCCTCAAGAATGATAACCCAGCGAAATGGCACCAGTGTCTACGTCAGATTTTAAACTCCCGTAAATCGCCCGTCTCTGTTTGTCCCCCTGATAACGTCCCCTTACCTGACGAAGACATTGCCGAGTTAGTCAATAGTCATTTCGCATCGATTGTTAATGAACTGCCCCGTTTAGATCTTGACTCCCTCCCCCCGTACCTACCATCCCCCTCTAGGCCGCCTCGCATATTTCCCTGGGAGGTCTACGAAACACTAAGACGTCTCAACTCCCATAAAAGCAACGGCCCGGATGACTTGCCCCCTAGAATAGCTAAACAGTATGCGGCCGAACTTGGCGAAGTTCTCGCTCATATCTTCAACTCCTCTTTAGAGGAGGGCTACGTCCCTAAACAATGGAAACAGGCCATTATATGTCCGATACCAAAAAAGTCACCAGCCTCTCTTAATAATCTACGACCAATTTCCCTCACCTCAGTTCTCATCAAAGTCTTAGAATCATTTCTTACAAAATGGATTCTCCAGGACGTGAGAAATGTACTAGAACCTCACCAGTTTGGCTGTAGAAAAGGGATGTCTACCGTTCACTACCTGACTGCAATGGTCAACTCGATCCTCCTAGGTGCGGAAACCCCCAAAAGTATCCAAACAATCCTCTTGACAGATTTTAGTAAAGCATTCGATAAAATTAATCACACCACGTTAATCAAAAAAATGTTACAGTATGGGGTACGCACATCAATTTTACCATGGCTCTGCAATTTCCTTAGTAACCGATCACAGTGTGTACGTTACCACAATATTACATCAAGTTGGAAGGAAATTTCGTCCGGAGTCCCCCAAGGCACGAAATTAGGGCCAATTCTCTTTCTCATCTACATTAATGACGCCCTTGAAGAAGATGTTTTAGACCGCTATAAATTCGTTGACGATTTGTCAGTATGCGAAAGTAGAATGTTTTATGAGCCTAGTGCAATACAAACATCACTCGACCAGTTGAATAGTTGGGCGTTAGAAAATGATATGATCCTAAACGGCGATAAGTGTAAGTTACTAATGATTTCATTTATGAGAGATTGCCCCCAGCCCCCCGTTATTTCACTTAATGATATTCCCCTTGAATACACAGAGAGTGCATGTATACTCGGCTTATGGTTATCACGTGATTTGGGGTGGGATAAACATGTTCAGGTCATTATTTCCAAGGCAACTTCAAGACTTTTTTGGCTAAAAAAATTAAAACGGTTCGGACTCCCTATTTTAGACCTCCTTGCTTTTTATAAAGGTTATATTCGCCCCACATTAGAGTACGCTGCCCCTGTTTGGAGCCCCAGCATCACGACGCAACAATCCATGAAGATCGAGCGAATACAGAAACGTGCCCTTAGAATTATCCTTGGCGCCCAACATACCCATTACGATGAAGCCCTTACTCACCTATGTCTGCCCTCCTTGGAAAACAGGAGAGAAACCCTTAGTCTAAAGTTTGCTAAATCCTTGCTAAGTTCCCCCACATTTAGAGGCTGGTTACCTCCAACCCGATCGGAAGTCCATGCTAAAAACCTTAAAAGTTCCCAGCAACTCTGCATCCCCCTGGCAAAAACAAACCGCTACAAAAACAGCCCTATCCCGTACTTCACTTACCTCTTGAACAAATATACCTGTTAAAATCTCCACGTGTCAATTATTACATCAGTTATTACAGCTTATTAAGAACCTTTTCAATTTCTTATAACGTTATCATCTTAATGTCATTGTTTACTAGTTTTTAATTTGTTATCATGTTGATCTTGTAATATAGATATTGATTTTTTATCATGTTAATAATGTAAAATGCGCAATTCAGCATCTTTGTACACAAATGAAGCTGCCATGTATTTTACTGAATTGTGAACGAAGTCAATAAACTCAATATATATACTAGAAAGGCCAATATTTGCTTTGGAGCAAATACAGCGATGGGTTCACCACATTTTACGACATGGCAGGGAAAGAATGAGAAACACAAGGGAAAACAATGATTTACATTGATATACGTCGATGAAGGTTAGACATCCAGGTAACACGATATGCCAAAAAACAGTTACTCAAGCAACTGGATATGATTTTGAAAACGTCAGACGTTTCAGCTAGTATCCACTAGCTTTCGTCAGTGACTGAGAGACCAGAGGGGAAAGCAGGTTTATATACATAACCTGTTGATCGATATGCAAATAAAGTGAAGACAAATTTTTGGAAGTCGAAAAAGGAACAAAAGTCAGACAAGTCAAGACAAGATGATGCAAATTAGTCTGAAAGCTCCTGTATTACAGAGGCAATATATGAAAGCTCCTGTATTACAGAGGCAATATATGAAAGAATGTACAACCCCACCCTCAACAGGGAAGGGGGGCTACGGGTCGATCTTTCCAGCACTTGGGATTTG